ACTTATAAAAATAAAGTTATTAATTTTACAAAAGTATAAAATTCAAATAATATTTTAGAAATTAATTTGTTAAATATCATGGGGGGGCATATTACACATAGGCCCACCATGTACCATGTGGGTGGGGCCCACACATGCCATACAAGGGTGGCACCCCCCACCTCTTGGTTGTTTGCTTTATTGTCAAGTTATTCAAATTTAGGAAAGGTATACTGTGGCATGTGATCTAATATTAGATAAGGAAAAGATTGACCACACATTATCCTAAATATTGAAAGCATATCTTGACTTGACATATCTTTAAATAATATGAGAAATAATTTGTTATTTTATGAAATAAATAATGTTTAAATAAGATTCAATTTATTTAAATATATTGGGGAAATGGTTTAAGGAAATGGGGATAATAGTCCAAGCACTTTCCATAATATTGATGGCATATTTATGGAATAAATGGCTTAGATCTCTCACCCCACAAGTCACCTTGATCAACAATTCATATTCAATCTCAATAAAGAGGCAAACTATGAAAAACCCTAAAAAACCCTAAACCTAATTTTTCTCTATAAATAGGGGTTCACCCTCTCCCTATGCTCTATACTTGTCTCTCTCCCACAACTCTCTCTCCTCTCTCTCCCATAGGGGCACGCCCTACTCTCTCTCATCTGGGTCACTCTCTCTCTCCAACTTTCTCTCTTTACTCTATCCTAGGCCTCTAGAGGGGCACACCTGATCCCTAGGTCTCCCACTTTCTCTCTCATGCTTTAAAAATACTAAGGGTTGGGAAATTAAGGGTAAGGCAAAAAAATTTTGGGGTTAGAGTTTGTAGAGATTTAAAGGTGAATACTCAGTTTGGCCAAAATTTGCTTTTTCGATTTGAGATTGAAGCTAACCCGTTGATCCCACAGCATCGGATGTTGGTGATTCGGTGTGGGGTATAATAAGCCCAGTTGAGGTAATCTCTAGCACTCTTTTTTTTTGTTTCTTGCTATATTTAATTATATTGGTTTTATATTC